TTTGATATCATTACACCCTTACAATCTATACGTGTATGGCTTCTGCAACAACCATCAAATCGCATACTCATTCATACACACAGCTATGATGAGTGTCTTGCCCAAAAACACAACAACACCGCTGTTTGCTTGTTGGTTTTGAGTAGTTAAGTTAAGATTTCATTAGACCTGGCCTAGTCTTGTTGTAGACCTTGATTTAATCCCCACTTATTTCAGATTTATGGTTATTTAGTCCATTAAGAATTTAGTTTGCAATCCAATTATTTTCTTAGGTGGTACTCAGACGTGATAGTGCGAAGCCTTTAGGAGCAGCTCTCACAGAAGATCCACTAGCTCCCCTTGTGTCAGATTAAGATGTCCTGCGCCCCTCAGATACAGTGTGTGGTGGGCAGCGTGTGTCTGGAGCGTACTCATTAGTGGGGGGAGTAATTGATAGGGTTGTAGAGAGCGCCGAGCAGAGTGATTAAAGCAAAGGAGGGCACGGGCTTATTTCTCAAAAGGGCCCTGAAAGAGAGAATGCTGAATGAAATCGACAAACAAGCGCAGTGGCCTCAGAGTAACCCCCTGCTCTGGCTGTGGAGACTTTGATGAGTTTTTGTCTTGGCCGTTTTCTTGTGTGTTCTCAAGGGTATGTGGGTGATCTGTTTTGAGTCAATGTGCTTATTTTTCAGAATCACCCGGGGAGACGGAGATGGACTGTAAAGAGGTCTACTTTGTCTTTTTGTTTCTCATGACTTACGCTTTGCAGATTCCAGCTTGTCTTTCTATGTCCAAGTGTTCACGGCACCACTGTGAATTTTCCTGATCATTGTTATTTTATGATTTAACGTTTTTGTCTAGGTTTTTATGAGGGATATAAAATGTGCCTTCTGTGTTTCTACTCTTTCTTTTCCCTCTAGCTTATACTAAATCGACTATTTCTGATGAACTCTGTTTACAATTTACTAGTTTGACTACAATTATTACAATAGTTAGGGATCTTTGCTGGTCAACTAGAGTATATCCAGGACTCACTATTTCAAGTTATACTACAGGAGACACCCAAGTTTAAATATTATGTAATATAACAGATAAGGGACCACATATTAATGAGTAACTAGTAGTAAATGGCATACTATGTGGTTAATATTTATTGGTATTTATAAATATATTCATGTATGCTTTCTGTATGACAAGTTTATTAATTGAGTTATTATTTTAATTACTGTTTATTAGCATTATTAAAAATGGATCATAATAAGCATTAACAGGCGCTTTATAAATACTGAACTAATATCTGAACAGCTACTTGCTAGCATACTAATTTCCACTTTCTTGGGTCTTAATATGTGGTCTTTAATCTCAAGTACTAATGAATATTGCATAACACAGGATCGTGCTGAAGCCTAAACTGAGACGCAGCAGTCATGTTATGTCAATAGTGTCTTAAACCAACACCGGCAGCATAATGGGCACATTGTCTTGCTCAAGAACACAAAGCAAACACAAAGTATGCAAAACTGGCAGTCTGGTTTCATCCATCAACCTTTCCACTGAATTGCCACTAAAGTCCAATTTATACAACTTATTAACTCCCTAAATTGATTGATGTTACTCTTGAATATGTATAAGGTCCTATATTATGCTATTTTGCAATGTTGTAATGTAGTAGCCTGATTCATCAGTCAGTTTCACTTTGTGGAAACCGTCTGACCTTGCAGCATTCGCTCGACTGTAGGAGGGTACCTTTTTATTTATCCAATCGCTGCTATTTGGTGATGATGTATGTAATGCACCAAATCCCGTAGGAAGAAGGACAATAACGTCTTTCCCCTTGATAAAATTCACCAAACATTCTCTTTGTTCCGGCTTTAAATCCTTGATCTCGGGAATCATTGCCAACCCAGAATGTATGGCTTTGTCTACATCAGTCTCGACCACTTTGTTTACTGTTACCACAAAAGGGATCCAGACAGATGCTCGAGTTTGACGTCATGACTTCACAAATCTTTGCTGATTGGCCGGTGTGCGGTCTGTAAATATTCTGATTCCTGACCTAGTCACTGGAGAGAAATTAAATTGAGTGGAGGCACTAAGTGGCACCAGCCGGGCTAGTAATGTAGTTCCCTCATCATAAACATGCCTGGAGTTGTGTTTTGTTTCATTCACACGTGTTTAACACACAAACCCTACATATCTATCTCTCAAACAGAAAACACTCTGTTCCACCTTGCGATGTCATGTGGCAATACAGGAAGTGCTCCACTGTGTTTTTAAACTCCTTCACTAGAATCATTTGGGTAATTTCAACCCTGGAATTGCACGTCTCTACTAAACAAAAGGTAAAAGGTAGTTGTTAAATTGAAAACTGCCATTTTATGACATCACAAGGTGGAACAGAGCATTGTGAACTATAGGGTTATGGACAGCCTAATAATACAAGGTTACTCAAACATATGTGAATGAAATAAAACAAAACAAAACACAACTCCATGTTTTTGATGAGGCAACCGCATTGTAACATGGCTCACAGCTCACATGAGTCAATTTTGCATAATATAGGACCTTTAAGCTTGTACATTCACTTCATTGCAGCCAAAGACAAGCTGCAAGTAAGTTCACCTTTCCTCCAGTGTCTACTCAGATACACTGGTCAATAACTGCTTTGCTTGTAGAACAAAGATCAGCAAGTATCCTGCCTGAACTCCTCTAGTGTCTGCCACTGAAGCTTCCAATAACCCCCCATTACAAGCTTGTGTGTGGTGTCCCCTTCACCGCAGCTCTCCCAGCCTGGATAAAAGGTCTTTCTCTTTCTCTCCTAACCTTGAAGCTAACGACCGCTAGCTCCGTCGGTGGCATGGATGTGATGCTTCTTGCCCCCCCACCCCCCCTCGCCTCTGCCCCGGCTTCACAGGGCTTGCATTCATAGCGTTGCCATGTTGTTTACCCCTCTGGGCACGAGCAGCTTTTCATTCCCCAGGTCTTGGTGGAGGTTGTTTGTCCAGTTTGATCTTGGCGTAAGATGATAAATGATCTGATACTGATGGCGCTGCTGTACACCATGGCCAGAGATGCTATCCTTTCTCCCATCCCCCCACGCGGATATCAGACTTAAACTTCCTTTGTGAAATGCGTTCGATGTCTTTTTGCGTTGCTTTTGGAGCTGGGTGGTTTTGCAGGGCTCCCTGGAGAATAGTGAACTTGCCTCAACCCACATGACTATCTCACACGCAGCAGGGATACGCCACGTGGCTTTTGACACTTCCCCACTCCCAGGAGAAAGGAATGGTGATTCGTCCTTTGGCAGAAAAGGGTGTGCTAACCATGTGATATCATAGACTACACAACAATACACAGCTGTGCACATCATATATAAAACAAGGCAGGAGAGGACACGGCTTTCCTGCTTGTTCAGCTAAACGTATCTTTGTGTCACACCAATAGCTGTGATTAAAAGTATAACTGGAGTTTTCTGTCAACAGAATGAAGCATATAGGGAGACATGGGATTTGCACAGTTCTGCTGCTAGACAAATCAATATTCAAATGTGATAATGGCTTTGTTTCTGCATGCAGGTAAAACATTATAATATAGTCATTGTGAAAACCATATGTATTTGGTATGACTCACTCTTATTAGAAACATATCTGAACTGAATTTGAATGAGCTGAATCAATTGAAGAGGAGGAACAGCCGACATTTAAAGAAGACCTGTTGTGCTTGTGTTTGCTATACAGCTGTAATCTATGACACCCATGGATTATTGTTACATTTTGCAAATTTTCAATATATTTATCTAAGGCAACTGAAAAGAAACAAGTTTGCTGACTTCCGTGTTAGAAAACTGCAGTGCCCAATGGGAGCGTAAACGTCATCACAACAAAGACTTGGCATCTCCGACGGATAGCTGCAGATCACGCTAGTGAGCAGCAGATTTTATTTATTTATTTTTTTCATTTGTGCCAAAATGACTACACGACGCTGCTGAATCCTACGCGTATCGATTAAGAAAATAAAATTGGAGAAGTAAGCAGAGAGCAGTGGGTGTATGCCGGTGGCAGCAAAGGGATTGATCGGCAATATAGCGTCTTGAAAGTAAGTGATTAAAGATTGCTCAAACATATACAAATCACTCCAAATATAACTCTGGGTGAGTAAATGCTGAGGGGAATAAAAAGTCAATTTTGCATAACATAATTTACAAGGCAAAAAAATGTTATGTGTATTTTTATAATTATTGCTACTGTTATTTTGTTCTGCTAAAATGTGACCTAATGCATAATATAATGACCATGACTGCTGCTGTCAACCTGTTTGAATCTTCTCCCCTCAATTTCCACTGTTATTCTTTCTATTCCTTCATTTATTTTTCCCTCTTTTTTTGTCTTTGATGAGCTTCCCACAGCCACTCCACTCCCCCTCTCCCCCTTCTTACATTGATTGGTGGGTCGATATGTTGAGTGTTTTTGCTTGGCTTCTTACACCGTGCGTCTTGACTTTGTAAATTGACTAATGCCTAAATAAAATCTCCTGCTTTCTCTTTTAGATCCTGCTTTCTAATGTCAGCCACATCTTTCTGTCTATCCTCTATATTTGTCTTCATGTTTTTATTCCAGGAAGAAGAGGACTATCTTTTCCCAACAGGTTTTCCAAGAAGCTGGAGTGTGTCAACAAGAGGGTGGGGATCAAGAGAGTGAGGTTGTGGGGTGAATTGTGTTGTGTGTTGTTGAGCGGGATTATCGATAAAGTTAAAATTGAATGGATTTAAACCTAGGTCAGGCCATTTTTTTCTCCCCAACCTCTTCATTCTCCACCCAAGTCCATCCTTTTCTCTGAGTAGCGAACCATAACGCAGACAGATAACTTTGAGTCAGAGAGAGAGAAAGAGAGAGAGAGAGGGCAGCGTTTTATTTAATCTCAATTTTCTCTTTTTTTCCTGCACCTGTCTTTTTCTTTCGTTTTGATTTCTTTCCTCTTCCTGTCTTTCTCTACTCTCCCTCTTTTTTCCGATGCTTGAATAGAAGTGGATCAAAAAGGTAAAGACCACAATGAACATAACAACCACAGCTCGCCCCTTCCCTCCTTATTCCCTTGTCTCCTTTCCTACCCTCCTTCCATGCTCCCTACTTCCTAACCCAGCACCTTGTGTAGTGGTCATGTTTGATGTTGAAATCCCTCCCTGTATATATATTTACTACTCTCTACTCTCTATACTTTTTTCTCTTTGACGTATAACCAAAACTCTTTCTAGATTCACGGTTTGATGACACCAGCCTGACCTGCACGCAAGCACCACAAATAAACACACACTAACATATCAAAGCAAGCTCACTCAAGTATCTAAAGCCCTTTACAAACAGCACACATGGGTGTGCACTCGTGTTCTGCTCTGTACAGTACATACATGCCAATAAAGTCTACCATACTTCTGTATTTTTTATTTGCACACAGGAGGAGCACGCCCGGGGGAGCAGGGGATGATGACGTGCTCAGAAGTAACTCACAGCTAACTGAGAAAAGAAAGTAGTTCTTTTCACTCAAAGCAAAAAAAACAAACTCAAAAATGTCATCACTTATTCAAGGTCTAACGCATATCTCAACTACGTAAAGAATTAATCAATTAAAAAACTAAGCACGTGGTGAAGAATACGTATCTTTACACACCCACTTCTCCACTGGACAAACAGCAGACCCACTCACACTTAGCACTAGAGCGCTGTCACCTCCAGGTAGTGATGGGTGGGTCAGTAACAAATACCGATATATACTGATACTGACTGAGGTATTTAAAAGTACTGATTCTCAGCAATATCAAGTTTCTGCCAAATTTGTATTTTTTGGGTACAATTTTAGTATTTCTTTTTAGTTTATCTGCAGATATATTTCATTTTTCAATCAGTTTGAACTGAGGTGGAGCAATTCTAATGACACCAAGGTGACACTATTCATTGTAAAGAAGTTTCTGTTTTAATTCAGAATTCACTGGTATCAGTGTCAGATCAATATTGCCATATTCTTTGGTATGGTCTCAAAACATCACTACCTCCAGGTGGGAAAAGTGGGCGTGACTGTGTACAAATAACCTAGCGCCCGGCATCCTAAGCAGGCTGGGGTCTGTCTGGATGTGCGTGTTTGTAAAGGGCTCAAGAGAGATAAACTGAAAAATAACTCCATTCCTCTCCTGTAGCTGATCACTCGCAGACAGCCATTTGAGTGTACACACATTCACATTCATCGAGCCCCCTCTCATCCTCTCTCCCTTCCCTTTTTAATTTTCCAGGACCACTTCAGCGTTTGTTGTTGTCTTCATAGCACAAACATTGTGTTTAGCTAACACTGCTCAGATACTATTTACAGCATCCCATTTCCAGGTGCTTCAGTCTCTCTCTCTCCCTCTCACTGTCTCCTCTTACTGCCACCACTGCCCCTCAATATCTTGTTACCTTATGATTTGCTGTAATGTGGCCCATCAAAACCATGTATCTACCAGCAGGCTCTGTCCTACTTATAGCTAAAAGGTGTGTTCCAAATAGAAACGAAAGAAAACCAAGCAAAACACAAACCAAATGTGTAGTTTCCATCCAATAAACTAAATGTTTTATCTTCTATGCACACTTAGTTTTAATGGAAGTCCAATCTGTTAAATTGCCCAGTTGGTTAGGTTATCGCACCCCACCAAAAACAAAACAATTAGTGCTTAAGATAAAATGCGTGGGCTAATGGTGAAGGGCTGATTGTAACTCCAAACCATTTGCTTTGTGCTTGTCTTTTTCTGGCCAAAGTAAATAAATAATATGTAATAATTACTAGAGATTGACTGATATATTGGTTGACCAATATATCAGGACTATTGGACTTTTTAATGTATCAACTATTGGCTTTAAATCTCCAGTGTTGGTTGATATTTAGTTTTAGTACATCTGCTGTCTAAACATACACATAAAGCATTATGACAACACTTAAATATGAAGATATAACTGCACAAAGTGAGACTACACAGCTTTCTTAAAGGTGCACTGCGTAACCTTTCGAGTGGAGGGTCCATCAAATTCTCTTGGAAATGTTATTGCTTTGTTTGGGATGTTTCACAGTATGGCATTAAACCTTTTTATCTTTATGAAGACCAAACCAGACCAACTTACCGGTCAGATTTGTGGAGAGGCCCCCACACAACCCCACTCACAGTCAGAATGCCTGTTTTTCTAGGTGTTTTTAGCAGTAAAACCACCTGTAAACGGATAAATTATTCCAGTGTGGTCACACTTCGGACTACCGGCAGGTGCTGCACTGCAGCGACCTGGATCCAGCTCTGCAGCTGTAGTTTTAAAAATTTTCAAAAACTCAGTTTTAGTGTGGTGTATGAGTGAGATGGGAACAGTCTACATTTATCTGTGTATTGCTGGCTTTATTTTTCTGGGAGATTCTGCTGGTGCAATTGTGAACAGGTTGGCATTCGGCTGGAACGCGCAGCAATGAAGCTACTGCCTACACTGTTGCTATTGCTCAGTGTGGTGATGAACTTCTTGGTACCCAGACCTCTTCACCTTCAGCAAGCTACATTTTGCCTACACCAAGGACTTTCTTTTGGCTTTGCAAGATGTGGCGGGTACCACCCCAAGGGGAATACCTTATGAGTTATTAAGGAAAACCACAATCAGTGGGACTACTGGGTGGCAGAGAAAGCGAGCCAGATGCGGAGGCGTGAGGCAGCGGCTCCGCAGAAGAAGTACCAGACCCTCGCTTCCCTCTATGATCCTGAGTAATGTTCAGTCCTTAACAATTGCGTGGAAAGGGAAGTAAGCGCCACGAATACCGCGAGTCGTGCGTCAGGGTCATGGCTTACGGAGACGTGGCTCCGACTGGACGTTCCGGATTACGTTGGATGTGGATGGATTTTCTTGTGAGCATGCTCACATTTTGTGAGCAGAACTACATTTTCGGGGAAATCCAAAGGCGGAGGTATTTGTGATAACGTTAAAAATGACTGGTGCAAGCAAGTTTCTGTCTGGAAAATGTTGTGTAGTCCTGATTTGGAATTACTTTGCTTGTCTATGGGCCCCTTATATCTACCAAGGGAATTTGGTAATATTGTGATCTACATCTGCATATGTACCCCCCAACGGCAATGCCGCAAAAGCAGTAGTCTTGTGGAGTGCGTTCACAAACAACTTCAGTACACGCCTGAGGCACCTGTATTTATCCTTGGAGACTTTTATCATTGCTGTCCAGAGCATGCACTTTATGGTTTTTATCAATACATAAAGTGCAGCATTCATAAGGATAAAGTTCTTGATAAATGCAATGGCAAAATAAAATAAAAAAAATGTGTACAGAGCCAAATCCCTCCTACCGCAAATTCTGACCATGCCACTGCCCACCTTATGCTCACTTGCTTAAGGCATCAAAACCACAGACGAAGACAGTGTTGCAGTGGTCTGAGGATATTGTGGAAACGTTGAGGGGTCGCTTCTTTTGTACAGACTGAAGTGTTTTTCACATTTTAGACTTAAATGCGGCCACAGAGACAATGACTGATTGTATCAACGTATGTGTTGACACTGCTGTCCCTAAGAATACAGCATTTCCCAAATAACAAGCCCAGCATTACCAAGGAAGTTAAAACCTGTACTAATGAAAAGAGGCTAGCATATAGGGACAGGGACATGGTGCACACAACCATAGACCAGAAATAAGTAAATGAAATCCTTAAATAGGAGAGAAAAGTCACTTTAGAGGGAGCTTTTAAGTTCCATGCCAATAAAAAGATGGGGGCCTCAATGAAAAAATGACCCACATGGCATCAAGCAAGACTCAGGGGCCGTCCACACGACAACGTTTTTTGATCAAAAGTGAGAAGTTTGTATTCGTTTTGGCTCCACATGGAGCCAGTGTTTCAGGTGGGCGAAAAGATTTTTGAGAATGGGTTCCAGAGTGGAGAAATCTGAGAATGTCAGCGTTGTGTTGTCGTGTGGACAAGCAAACCGCAGCTTTTGGAAAACGATGACCGTCATCGCTAGGGTCCTTCGATGCAGCAGAGCCTGCAGCCCTCGAACTAGCCTCCACAGACCCCAAAAGCGTTGCCATCATTCAGCAACCGAGACATGCTGCTAGCAACAATACTAACAACACGTCGTTTCTGTGTCTGCAAGTCTTCCCTATCCACACAGCTTTGTGCATATTTGTTTACGTTTTACAGAAACGAAAATTAAAACCGCATGGCTAATTAGCATAAACTAAGCACTCAAAAAACAGCTCGCTATTGTGCACTGATGTGGTTCAGCTTCTGTTGGACTAAAGGACAGGGCTCAGTGGAATATATGGGTTCTTTCTGTGACGTATGTTTAACATTTGCAAAACAAAACAGCTATATTTCTGGGATCCATCTAAAATCGACTAAATTATCATAAATAAATTTTAAAAAACGGTGATGAGATATGCATTATTAAATATCATTATCATTTTTAACAGCACCACATACAGGTGTGGCAGATGTATTACATTGTTTTCACTCATAGCTCTGTTGTCGTGTGGACGTGAATATTTACTGAGTGTGTGGATGCAATTTTTTTTCAACCCGCATCGAAAAAAACCTTGGAGCGTTGTCCTGTGGACGTAGCCTCATTTGGTGACTATCAATGATAAGGAATGTGCTAATGACGTCAGTGATTTCCTTTTAAAAGTTAATGAGCAAAATGATTGTGATACTGTTTTAATATTTGATTTAGATGATTTTGAACACTGATGGTTTTAATATTGATTTGCAATGCATACAGTCTACTTTTAGCAAAGTGTGTCCCAAAAAATCTGCCAGTCCAGATGGGTTGTCTGCTTTTTTTAATCAAGAGCTGTGCACAGGAATTGTCTGAGGCCTGGTATCCAATCTTTCAGTCTTCTGTTGAAATTTGTACTGTTCCTGATCTTTGGAAAAAGTCAGTAATAGCACCGAAGACATCTTGCCCAGGTGCAAATAAAGTCTACAGACCTGTATCCCTAAGTGTTGTGATGAAATCTTTGGACAAAATAATGGTCAACAGAA